ATATCAGTGCTTGTAAATGTTTTGTGTGTTCACACTTGGCTTGTGTTTTTTCAAAAGAAACTTACTCTCGAGTGCTTCTGCAAGTAAAGTCTGTTGCCAAAGCCTCGGTGTGTGGTCTCTGTGTGTTCCGTTGTACCTACCTGCTTCCACTGCACTGACTCAGAAAATATTTTAAGCCGTTTTTTGTTGTTGTTTGTTTTTACATCAGCTTTGAGGAATTAATTTTTGATTGAAAAGACATTCAGACTCAGGGTAGTGCTGGCTTCCCACGTGGCTTGTTTCAGGTGTGGTTTGTCTTTCCAGGCTGGGGAAGAGTAGTTAACACCAAAACCCCACTTGTTGGTTTCACTTTCCTTTTTTACTTTCCTTTTACTGTTTTTGTAATCCATAATAGAGGGTGGAATTGTGGCCCTTCTCGAAGATTCCGCTGTCTGAATTTAGGAAGTTGTAAAGTACATTGGTAATAACAAGATTTCTATTACCTGCTGTTTGAGTTGCATGTTTATAGCACTTTAGTGAAGGAGTGGTCTACACATCCGCTAAGGTAGCAGATGTTGTGGTCAGTGGACTAGATATTTCTTTCATGTGAACATATGCCTGGTGGGGTGACTGAAACTGAAGTTATTTTTGTGTGGATTGAACTAAACTGTCCCTCATGTCAGATGACCTACAGTCATGCAAGATAACTGCAAAAGATGGTGGGATAAGGGTATTAAATAAAGTGTTTCCTATATGTGTCTTTAAAGTATTTGAAGAACTCGGGCAGAAATAGCCTTTCTGTCTGCGTAGGGCTGGTAACTGACCATAAGACACCAGAATCTGATGCTATCTGGAGGCCAAAGGATTCTTTTAAAGCGTAGTTTTGTGTAGAGGTTAAATAAGATCATCAGGTTGGCATGCTGTGCTGTATGTGCATACATCCACAATCCCGTCCTCTTACTATTACCAGAGATGCTATCTTGCAGTTTATAATGATTCTAATTTGTAGGATAAACTAAATCTTAAAGAATTCTGTAGTGTCTGGTGAGTTGAAGTTTTTATCAGACCAGGGAGAGAATTATGATTGTATTTCCTGATGTTTTCTGCAGAGACCACAACTGCAAGGGATTATATATGATGATACTGCTTCTGTAACAGTTACATTACTGTTTTAAGTGATTTTTTTTTTCCCCCCTCCAAAACTTAGGTCAGCATAGTTGTTACCTGTCGCTGACCTCAAACACTGCTGGTCATCTTCCTTCTGTACTGCTCTACCTGCTGTCTTGCAGTTGAATTTCTTAATGTGGTGGTGCTTTATGTGTTTATGGTTTGGGCATGATCGTTTACACCTAGAATTCCCTGGGGACACCTGAACAGGTACCTGCTTTTCCTCCTTTTTGAACTCTGCGGTTAGGTGAATCCTTTTCCCTGTCATCTCCACATGCAGTGCGTTCTTGTTCAAAGGTCACAGTTTCCCTCAACGTGAAGATAAGACTTGTTTGCAGAAACCATAAACATCTTAATCTTGCATGCTTCCTTCAGGAAAGGAAGCGAATTACTAACCTGTGCCCCTTTCTTGGTCTCTGAAATAGACCTCGCTGCTGCTTTGCAGCTGTGTGCAAGCCTTCATGTGAAGGCTGCTGTGGAGATGCACAAAAAGCCTCCTTGGGAAAAACCTGCAGGGTTGTGCCTAAAATCTGGCTGCAAACTTCCCTTGCACAGGCAGTGCTCGAGTGTGTTTATAGTCATCTTATGCTTCATGAAAGGTCCATGGGACTGCATTCAGAGTGTTTCTTTAGCATTTAATTCAAACACGCATGGCACAGAGGACACAAGTGTAGAAGGATGTATAAGGATGTATATTCTTAGCAGGAGAAAGCTGAAGAGATGGAATTGACTCAGTATGTGCTGAATCAATGCAAAATTTCCTGAAAGGGCTTTTCATAAGAAGATGTTTTGGCCAATGGGGAATTACATGTTCAATTTGTGCACTAGTATGGGATTTGTCATGAGCAGAGGCTTCTTTAAACACCTCAGAAACCAGTATGCTTGAGTATTTTTCTAATTAAGACTGCATGCAGATAGGTATGTATTTTTTGAACAAGGTATGTTTAGATATTACTTAACATCAGGCCCATGCGCTTAGAATGCTCCGTTGTCTCTCTTCCGGATGAACTCTCAATTCCCTGGCAGAGAGATCCGAAGCTGGGATGTCTATGGATTAGGTTGCTGGGTGATCTGAGGCTATCAGCAGGCAGCTCCGGGCTCCGTGGGCTCTCTGCTCCCGAGCCGGCGTTATTCAAAGCGTGCATATGTGAAAACACAAATTTCAGTTTACTTGAGTACCTCAAGCTGTGAAATTGCAGCAGCTCAGACCTTTCTGCGTGCTTCTCAGCTTTGGATGCAATGAAGTTCTACAGAACCAGAAATTGGAGTCACGGTGATACCATTAGGCAATCCTGAATGTAATGGAGAAGAGGAGGGTCTCCTGGTTTTCCCTTGCAGCAGCCACTCACCAGCCTCTTGCTTGTCTTGCTTTTCTCAGCCTTTCTGCCTCCCCACAGCTGCTGGCTCTTGTTTGCTGAGAGATAAGGAGCGGTGCTGTAAAGACTGTCAGAAAAATAATAGCCTTCTGGCAATTGTTTGGTTTCCAACCTGGATCGGGTGTGCTGTGCCAAAGATCAGGTTTATGTTATTTGTACAAAGCGAAGGGCAATGCAGATGGCTCCAAGTGGGAGTGAGTGGGAAAGAGCGGGGAGTTTCTCAGGTTGCAACGTTCCTGAAGAAAACACAACATGAAACTGTGGCCTTGGCTAAAGTTTGGAATTGCCATATTCTTGGCTGAGATGTGGTAACCAGGTGCTTGCTCTTCTCTTCCAAAGCATTGTCATTTTCTAGCTTAAATCACTGCTATAGCCCATATGTCCTTAAAACTAGCCTCAAAGCACAGCAAGTTAGACCTGCACGTGTGCCCTGAGTCCAGGGGGCTGCTCAAAGCGGGGGCCCCTCTGCACTGGCTGTTTTGTCAGCACCATTGGCTGCTGCTGTTGTCTGCACGGCTGTATCGTGACCGAATCGAGGAGCTGCCCTGCCTGAACCTGGGTTTTGCTGTGCAGCCAAATAAAGGTGCTTGTGCTGGCAGGAGGGCGGGGTGGAAACCAATCGCTGTGAGAGGGTGATGTTGCAGTGCATGGGCAGCTGGTGACTGCGCAGAGCTAGTGTCAGGTTATCCCGAGTCAAGCCCTTGTTTCCCCCAAATTATTTTCAAGATATTAATGCCAGCCTTGAAAAAACAGAATGTCTCTGGCATCTGAGGTCAACAGGCATCGGTTTCCATGTAGTTCAGAGCCTGGTAAGGCAGCACGGCTGCTTTGTTTATTGATTCCTTAGCTGCTATGGAGGTTAGGACAGTTCTGGCTTCCTTTTCCATCTGTCTTGTGATGGCAGCATGGGTCTTACAGGAGAAAAACTTGCTTTGCTCTGTTTCAAGCCCCCCACTCCCTCATTAGTTATTACTGAGTTATTACTTAGTAATTAGTAATACGAACTACAAATTACTAAGTAGTTACTGTCCTCTTTTGACATACTTAGGATCTACCTCTTTGCTAGGATTTCATATTTCTGTGTTGAGTAGTTTAGAAATGTATTTCATATTGTGTCTGGCTATGAACTGCAAGGAAAATTGAGCAATGTCCTAGATATGTCCTTGTCTTAGCCCTTATTTCAGGGTGGTGTTATTATTAATAAAGGCGTTTACTGAAGAATGTTATCTTGGTTTCCTGCTTATTTCAAGTTACTCCCATGCACATCTGGCAACATCTTTCATAATATACTTGGATATTAAAGCACAGCAAAACTGGATGCCAAAAGGTAGTCTTAATCTACTTAAATTACCTAATGTGTGCTCCCTTTTGTAAAGCAGAGAATACTGTCAAAAGTTAATCTAATCCTGAAAGCAGTAAAACTTGTTTCTTTTGATGCTGGAGATTATCTTGGGCTTTGTTCTTTCACACACACACAAATAGCTTTTCTCTAAGTCTTAGGAACAGAGATAGCAATTTGCATCTAATAGCTGGATTTCTTTGTTTTCATACAGCAACTGCTGAGATCTGGATCTGGCTTAGTGTCCTTGAATAAAGTAGTCTAAACTGGCGTTTCCCCTCCCCAAAATCATGTTGCATGAGCCCTTGCCCTGTAGCTGCACAAGTGTTTCAGTACTAGTCACCAACCTCACAGGAATCCGCTTGAGGAGGGTGTGCATTTGTGATATACCACCAGGCAAGTGCTGGTCTTCAGGAGATGATCCTGATCCGAAGGGATTTGGTGCAGAAAGGCCTGCTTGTTCTGCGTGCCGGCGTGTAGGCAGTGGGCAGGCTGCCTGTAAACAATAGTGGTTTTGTCTGGGGCGTCACGTCCACCTCGTGTGAGTGCAGTATTTATGGCAGCATCTTTAGGCTGAAGCTGTGGGGACCTGTCAGTTATACTTGTTTTATCTACAGTAATACATGCTAGCAAGTCTGAGTAGATTTTGATGTTTCCCACTTTCTCATTTCACTGATAAGGCATCATTTATTATTTCTTAGTCCTTTTCTTATGTTTCTGACTTAAGCCTGGGAAGCTTCTCTATTTTGTGATATCTGCCCTCCTGGTTCTTGTTGAAGAATGCAATTTATTCATTTTAGGTGGTCTGGACCTAAGCAATGATATTTATATAGCTTAACTAGCTAAGGAACTTGAATGAAATGTTGGATTAAGCTGCAATGAACTGATAGCTGTGACTTTCATTGTATTCATCTCTGAAAGCTGAGGAGGAGCCCTCTGGCAGCATCCTTGTGTACGGAGCCTGGATGGTGTTTGTCACTAAACCTTGAATCTAGCCAGAAGTATTTTAAGCTTGGCAGGGGAATTTAAAGTTTGTAATAGGACACAGTGGGCCAGAGACTATTATGAAATGTCCATCCCATATTTCTTGAATGAAAATCTCATGACTGTCTCTGTTTAAACTTTTGCTTTAGATTCATCATATTGTGCAGAATGGAGGATTATACAAAAAGCCTTTCAATGAAGCCTTTGAGGAAACGCCGATGCTGGTTGCCGTGCTCACCTACGTAGGCTATGGTGTTCTCACTCTCTTCGGATACCTGCGAGATTTCCTGCGGCAGTGGAAGATTGAGAAGTGTCAAAATGCAACAGAAAGAGAGGAGCAGAAGGTAACCACTGGAAACTGTCAGTGATCAGTAGGAAATGATACCGAAACCATAATTTGGATATATCTTTGCAGTGCGTTGATTAAACTTTGTTTAAACAGTTTTCCATGCACTTGGATTTCCCTATTAGTTATATTAGTACCACTGTATGGTTAAACAAACCATTTGGGTTTGGGTTTCCAGATCTGGTTCACTACAGGATTGCATCAATGGTTATATCCACATACTGAGAGATGCCTCAGTTGATTAAAGGAGGGTTTGGAAGAGGGAGAGTGCCTCAGCCAGCCTCATTAGCAGAAGAAATGCTGGTTGAAGGATGTGGTTTGAGTTGACAGCAGTGGGAGGCAATCTGATGCTGCTCAGGTAGCTCTGGCTGTTCTGAATTGGAAGCGTGTTAGTAAGTCTCTACCCCATGCAGTTGCAAAGAAAAGTGTGTAAATGAGAGCCAAAGCATCTAGCTGGATGTTTTAAACTCATAGAGCATTCAAGACATTAGCAGGTTAGCCAGTGAGTAATTGGACATGCTCACTCCAGATCCATTGGTAGTAATTAAGAATAATTAAGAGTAAGGTGAAGAGTCCTGTGTGTTCCAGGAACTCTTCTGGAATAGATTATCTTAGTTTTAAATTGTCCTAATCAACTTTTAGAGGTTTTTATTTCCTACAGGACCTACTGTGAAGAAAGCTACCATCTAAACTTGCAGCACAGTAACTGTTCTCTATTAATTCTTACTGTGAGTCCTCTTAGTACAGTGCAAATGCAGTGAGCTCTGCTCCAAAAGTGGAATGAAATGGCTTGATTTTTCTGATTGAGTTCTGTTTTTCCCAGCAACTCTGGGAAACTGATCTGGCTTGTAAAATTTAAGATAGGTTGTTTTTTAGTTGCTGGTTTCTGCACAGAGCTACACAAGCAATAGCAGGAGTGTGAGGGGGGGTTGGCAGCTCAAGAATGCAAACAAATAACCAAGGGTGGGAAGGGCTGGAGGGAAGACAGAACAACAGCTTCTGGAGGTAGCCTTGGGTTAAAGTGTATGTCAAGTTATGGTAGATGAGCTATAATGCAGCAGACTTATAGCTAAAATTGTTTCAGTGTAGCTTCTTCATGCAAGTACATATTTCTCATAGGAATTTAGTGAAGAACAGGTATTTTATATTTGTTAGAACTACAGGAAGTTCAATTTACACTATTCAAACTGGCTTTTGGAATCACAAAGTAAAATAATGGACCCCTCTTAAAAGTTAAAACATTTAAATAAGGATTTCTAGCTAAAACTTAAATTGTTGCTTGCTGTGTTCATTAATCTCAGTTCAGCTGTTCTAGTTTGTCTTCTGAGGATACAGCCCCCTTATATTTTTCTATATATAAAATAGAAATTGAGATAGTAAAGAATCAGAAAACTGAAAGGGCTGCAGAAACCTCCCAAGACTAAAGATTAGAATAAAGGGTGGAATACTGGCCCGTGCCTTGGTACATGAAGTGAAGGTTTAAAAATGGGTAACTGAAACATTGGAGCAATTCAGCAAATTGCTCTGAACCGATGCTGCTGTACTTTTTTTTTTCTCTCCCTCCTCTCCTTAAAAGCAACAGTGGCTCTTACATGAAGGTGAGCAAAAGAAAGACCTCAGGCAATAGGTCCAGTTTGGAAACAACAGTCTTGAAATTAGACTCCATATATTGTCACACTGCAGACTGGAGCACAGAAGTGGTTTAGTTATTGGCAATCCTAGTTCTAAAAAGGCTAGCTTCAAATTTTAAACTGATTTTAATATTGCATCTTTCACTGAAAGACAGTTGTTTAACAAATATACCTCCTGGCTCTACTTGCAGATGAATTGAAATCCTTTAAGTCTACATGTATTGGTCATGGCTTGGAGGAAAGAGGTGCCTGTATTCTGTTTTTAGTTTGTATGTAGGGCCTTTGTGGTTGGATCTAGGAAGAAGTGCTTTTTATCAGAAGGATTTTGGTGAATATATGGCAAGAACATGAAGAACTGGAAATCCTATTTAGAAAAGTGTTGGTGTTGATGAAATCCCAGGCTAATGTTAAATCATGTTTCTGAGGCTTAGACTGGCTGTTTCCATATAGGAAGAACAGAAAAGTGGTCACATGATGTCTTGAACATACAGTACTTATGCTCACATTTTAGTCATACAGGCTCTGCCCAGTGATCTTTTAGGGAGGGGATTATTGATACTAGTTTGTAGAAAAGGCCAAGATCACACTTGTTTTATTAATGCCTGCAAATCAGAGGAGGCCTGCAGTGCCCTAGGGTAGTCACTGGCAGATTGTGACCCCCGTGTGACATTTTTATTCTTCCAAGTCTCCACAGCTAGCTAGATAATTATGATTTTCTCAAATACCAAGCAAAAAGGGTAGCTTTAGTTTTCTGAAGTGATTCATGAATTCCTGAGGAGGAAAGCGCAAAGTGGAGACATTAGGAGTAGCTGTATATGATTAATATACCAAAACGTGCCTTGTGAGAAGGAAAAAAAAATTCCTACCTAAATTATATAGTACGAGTATTTCATAAAGGCTGACTGAACTTGTGCCTGAGTCATGGAAGTGAAATATGTGGATTTTATGTGGTGTGTTTCTGAAGGGAATTGCAGTCAAAAGCACAGTCTCAACTTAAGGCCCAGATTGCAGGACTGATTTAAAAAAAAAAAAAAAAAAAAAAAAAAAAAAAAAAAAAAAAAAAAACAACCCTGTGTTTGTGTGTTTTAGAAGACAGTTGCCTAGTAGAACATCCCTTCTTTAAATGATTTGCCACTTAACAGCATGGTCTTAGTCTGTGCAGCAGAACTAGAAAATGAAAGTGGCCAAACTCATTTAAAGAGCCCACTTTGCAAGAAGGTTATACTGAGCAGTTTCTGACAGCAGGTAAAGTCCTTGCAAGTTACTACAGAGCAGTGCACTGCGATTTGCGTTTCTAGATAAATTCAGCATTTGCCACCAGCAGGACACAAAAGGATGAAGAGGGACACTGTGTGCTAATAGTGTTTTCCAGGAAGTCTTTTGACAGTTTTTAGCTTCATTTAAAATATTTCTAATTGGACCTTTCCTGGAAACCAGTGTTATGTAGCACACTCCCTTTGAAACCTTATCAGTCTCTTTTACACATGAATAAGTGTCAAGATTAAGAATTTTCGGTTACTTCAGGATCAGTTTATACTTAGAAATGAGCCAAGTGGCTCGTGCTGAGCTTCCCGGGCGCTGGGGAAGCTCTGGGCTGGTGCAGGGAGCACCCGCAGTCATTGCTCCATTCTTTCCTGACTCACACAGCATCGAACGATTAGTTCACTGAACTAGTCTTTCTTCTTCCTTATAGAAGCTTGATATTTGTTGCAATTGTATCCTTGTTTTTCATTCAGAGTCAGTTTTATATTATCAGGGAAGGTATTATATGAATTGCAGATAAGCACTGCTGGTGCTCATGGCACCGTTTGTTAGCTTAGGTGCAATGCTATAAAAACGTGGCTCTACAAGCGCCATAATTACTGCATTTGCATGTCATTGTGCCCTAAGCTAATGATTACAAAGCTCATTATGACCTTCACTAGCTCTGCCAGCATTGGTGTGCCATGTGATGAAATCTTGGGTTCCCAAATCACCTGTGCTACTAAGGTGCAGCTCCTTTAAGGGAGAATTGTGTTCTTTACTTTATATCACTCTTCCCTGAAATTTCAGTGCCTTTCAGGCTGCTAAGAGTCTGGAGCTCTTAAGCCTGGTATTCAGATTTCTGCATCAGGCACTATCTTACTGGTGTGGGGGGTGTATTCTGGGCTTTAAGCAGGAATTAAGCTATATAAAGTTTGTTTGCTTTGTGTTCATAGGGAAGATAAAAGAACAGATTGCATTTTCTCCTTCTTTTGGAAACAAGGTATCCTTTGCCTGGATGGTCAATTTGAGTACTTTGCAAATAATTTACTCCAGAATAATTTTCCCCAAATGAAACTGTTCTGTCTAAGGCTGATATTCTTGGTCTGTTGTGGCTAGAAACAGTGTTGCTTCTGAAACAGGATGAGAATTTGATAGAATAATAATAATAAGCTCTAAAGGCTATGTAAACATACCAGTGGTTGCCTCCAGCAGTGCAGACAGGACATTTGCAACACAGCACTGTGGCTCCACATCAAATAGTAAGAAAATTCCCTTACTCATAATGTTTCTCAAATTCCTGTTAACCTATAAGATTCCATTTTTGTTATGATGACTGTTTCATAGTTAAAACTCTATTTAAATTTAAATGTACTTTGTTGCCTCGTAAAGCTTCTTATGATACTTGTGTTATATCTCTTACTGGCATCACAGTGTTGGGGGTGATGGTCTGTATCTCACTAGCTGAGCTTGTTCCTCTTCCTGCTTTGTCAGCCTGTGTTTCAAAATCAAACAGGCTCTATCTGATCAGCAGTCAGAGGTGAGATGGAGCTTTAGCAGCCAGGCCTACCTGCTGGAGTTGGTGCAGTGACTCATTTCCAGGCTCCTCTCCTAGCTAAGAGCCTTGGCTGAAGTCTCAGTCGACTTCCAGGATCACAGAGCTAATGTGTTTGAATAACACCCACAAAGCTGCAAGAATGATTAAGAAAAGCTATAAATGGTTAGAAATATCTCGGTATGCTCAAATTAGACTTATCAAGTACAAATTCCTCAAGCATTGGTATTTTTCATGTACCATGGTTGGTGGTTTTTTTTTTTTTTTTTYTTTCACTTTCACTTGCCCTGCCCCTTTAAAAATCCTGTAGGAGAGGCTTGTGGATAATTCCTTGGGTTCTGTGTTGTGGGTTATTACACAGCTGCTACCAGTACTCTTATGCATATTGCCACTTTAGATGTGTTCTCATATGTGAGTGAGAACCTGAGATACATCTGTCAATATGAAGATGCTTTTCTCCTTGGTAAGAGTAGCCCCCTTGTCAGTGATTGCTGACACCTTTGTCAGCAATTGTAACCACCTTTTGCTTGGGATACTGTGAGATGCTGAAGCTGAGGAAGGCTGGAGCTCTGGCTCAAACCAGTAGCTGTCAAGGGGAGCAGGTCCTTGAATTACTGACTGGTTTGCTGAGCATCCTTGACAGAGCACCATTTGTTGGAGAGGACATGGCATATTCAAATAAAACCACAGGGAAGAAAACGCTGTCCTTCAGCGCATCTTAGCTCTTAGAAATCTTGTTCTTGCTGCCCTCCTTTGCTGAGAAAGGATGTTTTTATGACACCCTGGAAAACATCTGTGGCTAGCTTTGTACTTCAAATGAAATAGTTAAAAAGAACATCACTGTACCTTTTGACACCTTGTTGTGCAGAGGCTAATCAGAAGGGGATTTAGGTGCAAATATGTTTACTTAGAAGTTACAGTGTTTGAGTTCCGTTTTTTTCCTATACGACTTCAGGTAAGAGGATGTTAAGGTATGGCCCAGATAGTTCCTTTATTCCAAACTGAAAAGACAATGTTGTTAAATCATTAACATAGAAAGGCCAAAAAAAAAAAAACCCTCTTCCTGCACTTGAGCATTGTACCATAAACTTGTCAGTGCCCATTTATTTCAATTAGTATTTAAAAGCTGGCATAAATGCTGGAAGCTTTGGCTCAGTGGTACAAATAATACCCTAGTATTTGTTCAGAAAAATAATCTCCTTATTATCCCATCCCCAGAAATCAAATGTCCTTTCCATGTTTTGATCCCTGTGTGGAAAAACAGGAAGAAATGTTATGCTGGCCCTTATCTTTGACATAAATACTACTTTTTTCCTTTGTAGATCATTAAAAAGACATTTTTTGCGACTGTAGCAAATGCATTATGCATTCTTATCGTTGCTGAATGTCAGCTTCCTTCTAATTGAATAGTAATAGGGAAGTCTCATGACTTCTGAACGTTTTAAATAGGCCAGAAAAACATGTTCCCCGGTGCTCAAGTGCTCAGATATTCCTACTGTCATCATTTGTTTGACATTCTTGTGTTATCCATTCAAGGCAGACACTTAGTGTTCCTGAAAAATGTAGGAAGTGAAGCTAGAATCCAGGAAATGCTCACACAAAGATATCCTGTGGGCCCTGGGCAATGATAAACAGTGGAGAAGAGAGGTGCTGTAATGGACCTTAATGATTCAGATTCTGAACATGTAGAAGTCATCTGTAGAACGAAACTGTGATAATACTAAAATTGCTATATTAAATGCATTTCTTAAGTATAGAATAAAACTGGCAGAGTACCTTGGTTTTCAAATTCTTTGTATAATTCAGTAAAATGGCGCATGTTCTCTGGTTAAAAAGTAAGTGCACACTCCCTTATTCCTACCTCTTTACCTCTGAAGGCTGAGTACAGATGTCTTGCAGAGACTGTACATTCATGCATTTGATAAATGGGATCATGACCCATTTTCTGGATGGATACTCTCCTCAGCTACCCAAAAATGTCCCAACTAGCTCAGCCATCCAACTGGTAATAGGGCTGGAAAGAGAACTCAAGTAAGGCTCACTGCTCGGACAAAAGGCCTCACTGCATTACGAGTCGCTTCCAGTTCAGCTTCTGTACTGCTTTCAGTTCTCCCTCATTTTTTTTAGGCTTCTTTGAGATTTTCTAACTTGATGTGTGATCTAATGCCATGATTTTTCATTCTTGTTCAGTAAGGTCCAACTGAAAAGCAACTAGGAAAAAGCGGCCTATTTTTCGGTAGGCTTTCGTTTGTTCTGCAGGAATTGACACTACTAGTGAGGAAATCTTAGGGGTCTGGTAGATTTGGAACTTGGAAGAAGCTTGAAAATGACATTTAGCAGATAGACTTCACAGTGGTAGGTTCCTGGTGATCAGTTTTGCTGTGGCTTAACTCTTGAGCAGTTTTGCACTAGCATGAACTTTCAACTCTAGTAGTATTGGACTGAAAACACTTCAGGTGGAATCAGCTTCAGGACTTGAGAATGAAAAGCTCTTTTAATTGTGTTTTCTTGTTTTTCATGTATAAATTACATTGACACCCCCCCCCCCCCCCCAGCTCATTCTCCTGGCATTACAGCAAACTGGAAATATACCTTTGGTTTACTTTGGGTGCTTCTGATGTGTTTCAGGACTTTGTCCCATTGTATCAGGACTTTGAAAATTTCTACAACAGGAACCTCTACATGCGCATTCGAGACAGCTGGAACAGACCAATTTGCAGTGTGCCAGGGGCCAAAGTGGACATGATGGAGAGAGTTTCCCATGACTATAACTGGACATTCACGTGAGTCAATACTGGAAGAAAGGCTTCCAACAACTATCTATGAGTAGAGTGTCTAAGAGCAGATTGAGGGCTGTGACATTAAAGGTGCTGTCAATCTTGTTTGTTGAGGTTTCTGCAGACATGAAATGAGTTTTGCTGTTTTGAACAGTATCTGACCATAACTATTTTTATATAATCCTTGAATATTAATTATTTTCAGTGTTCCTGACTGTGTTAATATTTCATGGACAGACTCTTATAGCAGCATTCATACTTCTGTATGAGGTGACTAGAGCCTAGGGTAGATACTATGGAAGTCATGACTTCTAGTGACTTTCTGAGCTGCTTTAGAGTCACTCTCAGTGCTTGCAGTAAACGTTGCCTGAAACTGAACTGAGCATGATTGCTTTGAGTCAGAATTAAAATAGACCACAGAATAAATCATAGAAATTCAAGTACATGGATTGTTGAAAATTGAGGTTGATGCATCACAGTGTTTGATGTGAAGGGGTTTGCAGCATGGTACTTGGTGGAAGTAGGCAGGTCTCTGCTTGGCTTTCACATTCAAAAAAAAAAAAGCCTTTTTTTCTTTTCTTCCTGCTAAACTTCTTCCTTAAATCTCCTTGTCACGTATTGTTAGCGCAGCAGTGCCAGATCTGCTTCCTGTCTGTGGTCTTGGGGCTCCCAAGTAAATTGATCCTGAGATCTTCTTTTGTTATTGGGAAGAGAACTGTCTGTTTCTGGGATGGAAGGGGGAAACATGCATCAGGGAAACAACAAATGGTTTGAGAAGTTTCAAGTAGTGTTAAATTACAGCAAATAGCAATGTTAAATCATCACAAATGCTGTTTCTGATGTGAACTGTTATAGGTACTTGCTTCTGTTCTCAGTCTGAGACCATGACAGGAGGATGAACATCTCTTTAATTCATTATTTCAGTTTGATAATGAAGATCGTTACCAAAAAAAAAAAATCTTAATGAAATCTTGTCTTGATTTCTACCATTTTAGCATTATCTTATATCTTATAGACAACCGAAATAAGAGTTATTCTGTATAGTTGGCTTTACAGTTGCTACTGTCTTAACTGTTTTTAAATTTTATATGTAATATATATTTTTAATTTTGTTTAATATAGGTACACTGGAAGAGTGATAAAGGATGTTATTAATATGGGTTCCTACAACTATCTTGGATTTGCACAGAATAGTGGGGCTTGCCAAGAAGCAGCAGCTGAAGTTCTGTCCCGGTACGGAGCTGGAGTGTGCAGCACGAGGCAGGAGATGGGTAAGTCGGAGTTGGATCAGATGTTCCTAGAAGGGATGCTTCAAAGTTGGTAACCTGACCTCTGGCTTATTTAAAACATTACTTATTCCAGCTTTTGAACTTTAGTCCAAGCAATCAAGAAGTTGTTCTTGAGTGAAGATGAATTGACTTGCTGGATTTAGTTTATACAGCCTGGCATTTGACTCACTTATGTTTTCAGATATGTTTTTGGTGAGACTTTAAACAAAGAACAGCCTAATTCCTGAGAGACTTTCTTGTAGAATGCAGCAATAAGGGAATTTTCTCCTCAATCTGGACTTCTTGTTTGTTTAATATGCAGGCAACTTGGACAAACATGAGGAGCTGGAAAAGCTAGTCGCTAGATTCCTAGGCGTGGAGTCTGCGATGGCGTATGGGATGGGCTTTGCGACCAACTCCATGAACATTCCCGCTTTAGTTAGCAAGGTATGGCTTCAGTCACCATAAAAATACTTCTAACAAAGGTTTTCAAGAAGCTACTTGTTTGTTTTTGCTTTTCTTCGCTGGCAGGCCCTGCAGATACTCTGGACGCTGTGTACACACAATATACATGTCTGTCCTAGGCAAAATCTTTTAGGAACACAATATCCTCCATTGGCTGCCTTTCTCAGGGAGAGCATAGCAGTTTATTACTTGTTTCCTCAGGCCACTCATTACTGTGTGAAATAGGAGCTTATTGACAGGCTCATTGCCTGAAGGTATTTAGATGCTCTAGAGACACTAAGAAGCAACTCGGATGTGCAGATAAGCTGCATTGCCTTTTGATACATACAGAGTTTATTATCACAAAGGGGTATCTGAAAAGTCATTCCTTTGGAGGAGTAAATTCCTAATAGAAAAACAGAAGGTCACATGTAAAGAGTAGTAATCTCTACTGTGTGCACCATAAAACAATGTAGCATGAAAACACTGGTATTTTAGTAATTGGAAAAAGAAATAGGAGACCTCTTTGCATTCATAAAATAGGTACCTATATTTACTTCATAAAATAGGTACCTTGTTCTTCCTAATGATTTTTTTCTCTTTCTCTTGTTCAGTAGCTGCTTCTGTAGCTGTCTTTCTGCTTCTGATAGTGCCACTGAAGATTTAAAAAAAAAAAAACCACTCTCTGCTTTGTGCCTCTGTTGGCTTGGTCTGATAAACTTTGTCAGATGCTTTCCATAATGATAAATGATTATGAGTCATGCTAGGGGGAACTGAGTTCATCCAATATCATCTTTCTGAACTTAAATAGCTCCATTATGCTATGTTTTTGAACAACATCTGTGTTAACTAATTCACTTTTTCTCTTTAACTTCCTACCTTTCTCTTGCTCTCTTAATCAGAAAAAAATAGTTCATTATTTTTGTGAGATTTAAAATTCATAAATCTAGGTTACCAGATTTTTCACTGAGTATTCTGTCCTGCTCAGTAGAAATTGCACATTCTCGTGCAATAACTCCGTTTTTTCTCTATATATGGATTACACTGTATCTTTCATAGGTGTCCCAAAAGTGTTTTGATACGTTCACTCGCTGACTTAGTTGCTACATTTGTACTTTATCTGTTTTTACATACATTGAGTTTCTTAACAGTAAATTCAAAGATGTGCAACATATGTTTGCATAGACATAACTTATGAAAAAAGTTTTGTTACGTGTACAATCAATGGACTGCAGCAGCTTTGAACTGCTAGTGATAAGCATACTTTTTTGCACTTTAAATGATACATTTCTGTTTTGTAATACTGGAATTACCATTATACTTAGGTGAATACCCCTAACCAAAAAGGCCTTTTGCAAAGATGAGAGCTGTTGTTAGTGAAAAATTTTGCGGTTGCAAATACTAATTAAATGTTGTTTCTGGCTACCTAACATTGTTTTTTTCTGCACTTCTTATCTTTCTGTATCTACAAATAAGGAAGGACTCACATAAATCCCAGTTTAGAATTCTGGCCCTGCCCAGGATACAGCTTTCTTAAGGGAATCCTCAGTGAAGCCTTTAGATAAGTGATTCCCCTCTTGATTAAACTCTTGAGCTCTCAGTTAACAATTGTTTACATCTGTCTGCTTGTCCTATGTACGTTTTAGGTACAAAGTGTCTTAGAACATGCAGTTTTGGAGTTTTGGTAAATGTAGTTAGTAATGGCAATTGCATTTCATCAGGAGGAGTTACTTTAATAGTCAGTGGTATGACTTGAAGTTATTTAATATCTATACCAAATCTGGATCCTTACATCAGTTATTGCATTGGTTTTTTTAAGCTAAATTTAGTCAAGCTATTCACATACACACATATGTACCTGTATATGTATGTATGTGCGTGTATATATACATATATGTGTGTGTGTATATATAAATATATATAATGCTTGACCATCTGTCCCCTCATTGCTCTGCAGAATCTGTAGGCACTTACATTGCTGCTTCTTGATGCTCCTTTAATGACAATAACTATGATTTAGTTATCCCAGGATCCAACTGTGCCTTATAGTCTGGTCAGCATTGCCAGAAAAAAAAGCATTCGAAAGCTTCCTCAGCGTTATCCAGTCAATGTCTGTTCACTGTGCCTTGTCAACATGAGCTGCTGCTGCTATCAGACAGGCAAATGGTGTATACTGAGAGTTGTATTTCAGCACTGTTAAAGCATCATTGAAAACAGGTCTTTGTGCACCTGGCAGATTTGAGCTGGAGAGACCCACTGTTGACAGCAAGTTCCTAGCTGCACAGTACAATCATTGCCAAATCTGCTGAGTTTAGACCATAGATAATGTAAAACATGAAGTTCATGTAACTTTTTAGACGTAATTTTTTTGGCTTCTCAGACTTGCTTGTTTCGACACAAGTGCCATTGGTACAATTAATATAGTTACCTAATGGCAACATTACAGTGCTCCTTCTGACAGAGTCCAAGAGACTAAGAGCAACAGTGCTCGAAGTAAAAGCACTTCATAAGAAAACCGTAAACGAATTTCCATATATTGTTAGTTTTGGAAACTAAGTGCTTAGGACTGAATTTTGCAATTCACCTGCAACACTTCATAGTAAAGCATGGTTTTAACTTCAGTTTCCGTGTCTGCCTTGTAAGTGTCAAGTAGCAAGTCCCATCTTCACTGATGTATATTTCTTTTGATACTGGCTCCAATTAGTGTTACACTCAAGCATAAGTTTGAGAGAACTGATAAATGCAACGAAAGTGTTATCGTTGTAGCAGCAGCTCCGTAGTTTTGGATACAATTTTCAACAGTTGCTGCACACTTGAAAAGTGTTTTCTCTGATCCATTGCTCTCTTTAAAGGCAGACAATACTAGATTTTCTACTTATCCCTTCAGTTTTGAACTCATTTGTTTTGTCTAATGGAACGTCTATCCTGTTATAGGACGGTAAAAATAGACTGCTTATTTTGTCCTTAAATTCTCTCCACCAAGTGTCCATTTTTATTGGAAAACTTCTAGACCAGTGGATGTTGTTTCTTTTTCTGTGGGTTGTTTTTGTCTGTCTTTCCTACTTTTTAAAATTTAAGAATACCAATACTTTGAGTTATGTTCAGCTTTTGATTTAGCAGTGTCTAACAGCATTTGAGAAGCAATATGCTGCTCTGTGTTGCACTTAATCCCTACTTCTTTAATAGTTCCAAAGAGCGAACACTGGTTGGGGATGTCCGTGCTTTCCCCCAAGTTTCTGAAATGAGCAGCGTGGTTCCTTGGTGTAACACCCTTTGAACTACTTGAGATGTAGTGCAAATTCTGGGTAAAACCAGGCTCTTATTTCCCAGGAAATGGTTGTAGAATGCTTCCACATACAATGTGGAGTTAAAAGGTGTTGTATGCTTGGCGGTGAAACATAACCTTTTCACTTTCTTCTTCCCTCTTCTCATTCAGGGCTGTCTGATTTTGAGTGATGAACTGAATCACGCATCGCTAGTGCTTGGCGCGAGGCTGTCGGGAGCAACTATTCGAGTCTTTAAGCACAACAGTAAGTATCAGATGGGGGACTTTGCCTTTCCACAGGTGCTATAGATCAGATGCAATCTCGTCTATCTTCTAATAGCTGGAAATCCCATTTCTTATAAGGAAGTAAGTTGCTGGCTACTGAAAGGATCAGAATATTGTTGCTACCCAGAAGTTAATGCAGCACCAAACCTTGCACTGGAGACCATTTAATGTGTTCATTCTCAACTAATAACAGTTTATTCTGCTGCTGTGCTGTCTTACATCTCTGCATGTGAAAGAGGAACATAGTTCCCAGAGTGGTTTAGGGACACTAGTGTTCTAATGTGATTTTGCATTACTTGGATAGCTCAGCACCATTTGACTCTTGCAACAAGCCATGCCAAGAAGTAATGCAATCCTGTAGTGGTCTGGATCACAGTTTGGGGGCCAAGTTTAGGACCAAATGATGATATGCTCCTATATTAACAAAAACATAAATGTGGGTGCCGTAGCCATGCCAGTCAGCTGTTGGTATGAATATTACTGTGGGGTAGCACAGAGGGTGCTTCAGAGCACACAGCATAGATTAATTTTGTTGATTAACCTTTTTAGTGTTCTTTGAAAAGAAATACTTGGAATTGCCAGTTTGTTGGTTTTAGCTTCTTCCAGTGGAAGTGTTTAGAATAATCTTCAGATGAAAATACAAAGTTTCTTTTTTTATCCTTGGTGGAAGAGATGTCTCGTTATCCTTAATTAGTAAAGGCACTGCTTCCATTCTTTAGCTGCTCCTAAGTTCTCTTTTTGCAGTATTACTCTGAGGTTGTAATGACTCTCTTGGTCTCTTTGAGGTGAATCTGTGGTGACAACAGCAAAGCTTGGAAAGCAGTCTTTGACTGCAATCCTTTTTCTTTCCTTGTCTTGGAGACTCAGTGGCTGAAATAAGGCAGCTGTGGAATAGGCACAGAATCACCGAACGGTGATTCCCAGATACCCAGAGCACGGGGCACAGGGCGACATCCAGGCAGGTTTGAAGACCTCCAGAGAAGGAGACTCCACAACCTCCCTGGGCAGCCTGTTCCAGAGCTCTGTCACCCTCACAGTGAAAAAGTTCTTCCTCACATGGAGATGGAACTGCCTGTGTTTCAACTTGTACCCATTGCCCCTTGTCCTATCACTGACCACCACCAAGAAGAGTTTGGCCCCATTCTCCCTACATTCTCCCGTCAGGTACTTACACATAGTGATCAGATCTCTCTCTGTCTTCTCTTCTCCAGGCTAAACAAGGCCCAGCTCACTTAGTCTTTCTTTATACGAGAGATGCTCCAGTCCCTGAATCATCTTTGTCACTCTACACTGGACCCTCTCTAGAAGTTGCACGTCCCTCAAAATACAGGACATGCATCAGCATCAATCAGATCAAAATTCTTGCTCATCAGCCTCAAAATCAAAGCTCCAGTCTAGATCTAATAAAAGCTATAGTGCTGTAATGGAGGGTACAATTGAAAAATAGTACAGTTTGGAGGAAGAAAGCTGGCTATTTATTAACTGATATTCAAGCAATACAAAGTTTATATATATGTATACACACACAAACTCTCATAATAAATTTTCGGAAATACTTGGCACATATGATTTCCATTGCAGAACCACTGTTTTGTTTGCTTTTAAGGGATAGATAAGTCCTTCAAATTCACTTGCAAGTGATTTTCGGGTTCAGGGGTTTTGAAATGCCTGCCTGCCCTCTGTTATTATAGTGACAATATTAAAGACACTTTCTGCTGCTGAAATGACTGATATGTGTTCATCTATCTTTATATGATGATGCTTTTGTTCCACTTCCTGATATCTACAGTTGAAGAGTTTCAACATATTAAAATTCATTGCAGGAGTGATGGTAGCACGTGTAGCTCTGGGTATGATGGGAAGAGCTCAGAAGTTTTGGAATGATGCATGAGAGATTCTGCAGGAGTGGGATTAAAAACTAGTCATGTAAGATAAGAGTGGTGTGAAAATCTCATAGGATGGAGTGTCAGATTAGAAGAAAAAATGAGACAGAAGAGGACAAAATGAAGGCTATCAATTTGGCAAATTAAAATGATATACAATCCTCGAGTTATGTACCTATTCGGAGTCCTACTCTTGTTTTATTTGGTACTGCTTTAATTCATTCTATTTCCTGGTTATGTTGGTGCCTTCTTTTACATTCTGACTTTTAGAAAATATGGAACAAAATGAAAAAGCCTCTTAATTTCTCGCGCCGTATTTGTTTGTTTATTCCTGCCTCATTCTGCACTTTATCAGTGCTGTTAAGGCCAGGTCTGGCTGTTAGTCTTCCTCTTTCATGGTGAGCAAGAGCAGAAAAATCTATACTAGTGCTCTGCTCTGAACTGCCCTTTTTCCCTTGAGAGGTATGTTGGAGATGGGCACTCCACTGACTCCTCCATGTTTGACTTTTCCTCTGCCTTGACTGTTTTCTGGCAGTCTAACTGACCTGCTTTTCAGTTCCTTTTGCTGGCAGAATTCCTCCTGTCTGTCAATCATTTGTTTTTATCAGTCTCTTGCTCAACATTTTTGTTTTTATGAATTCATTACCTCTATCTCTGCTCATTTCTTGAGCTGTTTTTCAGAACTGACTCCATGCATGTGTTTGCTCAGGTTACTCTTTCTTTCCTTCTAGCATGTCACGTGCTTAAAGCTAGTAAAGCTTCAGAATACACTGCTACTAACAACTTCCTCTTTCTGGTATGCTGAGCTTTGTCCCCATTCCTACCCTGGCTCTTCTTTTTTTCCTTCTTGACTCTGATCTCTGCTCCCCTTGCATTGATGGTAGTCACGAACTTTAAAAACTTCCTTTTCAAAGGTTGGGCCCTTTATGCTTTTATTGGTTAGTCGCTTTCTGTTCCACAGCTTCAGTTTTTTTCAACTTTAATATAAAATAAGCACTTGTTCCCTGCCTTTGTTCTGTGCTTCTGCTACTCATCTTTGATTATCTTTGAGCATATTTGCTCTTCTTTGTCTTTATTTCTATCTATGAGGATCCTGTTGTTTCCTAAATTGCTTACTTGCTTCGTATCGAAGAGTTGTCTTCCCCTTTCCTTCACCTTCCACTCCCTTCTGTTTTTTTGTTTATTTGTTTGCTTGCTTGTTTATGCCTTAAGCATAAGTGCTTTTAATTTGGGGTGATCAAATTCCTCCTCAAAGTTTACATGGTTACCAATTTCGTTTAGTCTCACTTATGGGCCTGGATGAAGCTAGCCCATATTTATTGATTTTATGTATTGTTTGACTTTCATGCTGGAGCAATTTGTGCTTTTCTGAATATTTCTGTCTTTACTCATGTCAAAGTTCAAGCTGTTTTGATACCATCTAACAGTAATTTTTGCTGCAGATATGCAAAGCCTGGAGAAGCTGCTCAGAGATGCTATTGTGCATGGGCAACCTCGTACGCGAAGGCCCTGGAAAAAAATCCTTATCCTGGTGGAAGGAATATACAGGTACAAGTTTTTCCTTTATATTTCCAAGACCCTCCAAGAGCAATCTAGCTGCTTAGCTTTTTGGCTCCTTTGCCAAATCAAATTAGATTATTGTCATAGCTGTTTCATGGATAACATATCTAAGAACTAAACTAAGCTGGGTATGTCATACCCTGGACTTTCTGTTGTTACTGCAGCTGCACCTTGCTCTACCAGAATGCTTCCTGCATCCTGCTCAGAAATAGTCTGAATTATTACTTATATCAGACCTGAAGTCTTAAATTCTGTTCCTTCCATTTTTTTTTCTGCTCACTTGGTCATATTTATGAGAATGGAAGTGTGCAGTTCAAATATGTTTTTTTGTTTTTTCCTGAGGGTGAGTGTGAGTTTATCAAAGGCAGTGAAATGATGGTGATACACAAAATAGGATACTACTACTGAATATCATGAGTTTGGGAACTAAGAATTATAGGCAAGTGAATGTCAGATTTCCCTTCTCATGTCTTTTATTTCCTTAGTTCGTGTTGAAAATCATCATTGAACACATTCCTTGGTCTTGATTTGCTGCTGCTGTTAGTATTTAATCAGTATGTCACTGTCCCAGACATACTAAACAGGTATATATCGAGGTCTGAGTATGAGGTGCAAAGAGGAGTTGCTTTTTAGCTCTCTGCAGAAAGTGATGTTTGTAACAAGCTTTGCAGGTGCCTGCAGTCACTGAAAGGAAGCCAAGAAGTTTGACTTTGTTAGAGCCTCTTTTAGGATCCAATTAAATCTACTCAAAATGTCTGTTTTTCCAACAGTATGGAGGGATCCATAGTCCGTTTGCCTGAAGTGATTGCCCTTAAGAAGAAGTACAAATCCTACCTGTACCTTGATGAAGCTCATAGTATAGGTGCCCTGGGTCCCAGTGGCCGGGGTGTAGTGGAGTATTTTGGACTTAATCCTGAAGATGTGGATGTCATGATGGGAACATTCACCAAAAGCTTTGGAGCTGCTGGAGGCTACATTGGAGGCAAGAAGGTAAAAAGATGGAAATATCATGACCCTTTCAGGCTCATGGTGGAGTGCTTCACTAGGCATTCCAAAATTTTATTTTTCTTGAGTTGCCCTGATTGTTCATTTGTTTCATACAGTTTAGTACAGTGAAAGTCTGCAATGCAGAAAAGCCTAGTCCAGGAAAGTTCCTTAAAAATCCCACATGGTCAGTGATGAGCTCAATTTGCTCAATGTAAGGTGGTGGCGTATCTTTTTGGGACCTTCTAGGAGCAAGGAAGAGAGGATATTTTCATCTTATCTTTTAATGAGCCTTCCCCCCTCCCCCCCCGCCCCAAAAAAAGAAAAAAACAATTTTTTTTCAGTCTCTTCTGTAAGAAGATGCATAAGCTTGTGAAGCTGGTTTTTATTGGACATCTACACTTTGCTTTCTAGAAGGCTGCTTTTTCCACTCTTGTTTTCTGGGTACCAACCTTTTCTACCTTCTAATGGAAGGTACTGCTAGACAGTTCAGCCCTTGTTAAAATCTTATCTTTGCAGGGGATATAGGTTATTACAAATGTCTCCTTTCTCATATTTTGAAGTGTGCCCTCTAGATCAGGTTTTTGATCCTTATTTTAAGGTAAAATTTTACTATTTGCCTGCCTGGAGCATAGTGCTTTAGATATGAACAGTGACAATTACTGTAGCCCGTGGTTTGGGGCGTGGGGCTTGCACTTTTTTTCCTTTCTTTCCAAATTTACGAGCCAGCAGGACTAACTCGCCTGGTATGAACTGATTCAGCTTGCAGTCTCACAGCTGTATTTTAGCTACTGTATTTGAGGCATTACCTCAGAAATAGGAGGCCTTAAATCTTCCTGCCTAGCTTATTTCAAAGCACTTTAAAATCTCCTTAAATTAAACTTTCATTCCAGACAGAGCACAGTATTAAATTGAACACTTCCACGTATTTGGAAAATATGTTTCCCAGCTTTTGCTGTTCACAGGGCAGTCCTGTTAATTTCATGGTAGCAAAAAACCATTTGGCTGGATACATGTTATGGTATTTTACTGGGGTGGTCTGAGCATTATAGAATAATTCTGTTATAGCTAACAGCAAGCAGACTAGATCTACGATATGTTTGTCCTTCATTCCCATAGTACCTGCCTTTATTTTGTACAGATTTAACAGGTACTTTGAGGGAAATGCAGGAGTGGTAGCCTGAGATTTGTATACTTCTAAACAATATTTCCTGCTTTATTTATGTTTTGCTTAGGCAAAGCAAGCAAGCTTTGCAAGTAAATTTGTGACATGTGCCTTATTTTGTGTTTTTGTCGGGAAATAATTATACTGTGTGGGATGCATAAGCACCTCCTGGTCACTATTTCATTAGTTGTATATTCCCACTGTTGTATTGAACACTCCTGAAGCACGACCTGCCCACAGCCCGAGTAACACAGACACTTTGTTAAAATCCATCGCTGCTCTTGTTGGCAAAACAAGCCTCTGTCTTAGCCCATTCCTCTCTGACCACATGTTCTTCCCCTGTGACACGCAAGACAAGATTGTCATGCTCCTACTGTCAGCACTTCCAGCATTTGTTACTGACATTGTAAAATCAATCCTTGAGCTACCCAGCGTATTCCAGAAGATTTTGGAAGAGTTTTGCTGCGGTGGCCCCTTTTGCCGTGTGATTACAGAGCTACAGTACAGCGTTCCTGTGAGGGCAGTCAAGGCAATGTCTAATTGCCTCTTGTTTTTTGCTAGGAGTTGATTGATTACCTCAGGATACATTCTCACAGTGCTGTGTATGCAACATCCCTGTCACCTCCTGTTGTGCAGCAGATCATCACCTCCATGAAGTGTATTATGGGTGAAGATGGTTCATCTATCGGTGAGTCTTTGTAATGTTAAGCATGTGGAACTGGAAAAGCCAAGGAGATCCTCTCTATGTCTTTGACAGAAAATTAATTCAATGGACACATTGATAATTATCTTTTAGTTCATGTAAACTTAGAATTTCTGGAGCACCAAGCCAATTTACTTTTCAGATATGATGGCTGTCCTACTTGGGAAGTCAGCCTAATAATGGTGTAAGGAAATAGCTAGAGGTAAGTCATCTTAGTCTTGCATAAGACAGAATATTGTTTAATATTGATTTTTATTTTGCATTTAGCTTTCCTAGCCTCCTTTTTTTCTTTTTTCTCCCCTATTTCTTCCTAATTTATTTGTCTCACTTGGAAGCCTCACTGAAGACTGCTGCCAGAGTATTTTGTGTATGTTTTACAGTCCAGTCTGTTACCTCAGGCTTCTGATTTTTCGTCCCTAATATGATTTGCTGTTTGTACCTCATTTGGAGTAAACATGGGAATGTCTGTGAAATGTCTTTTCATTCTGTAAGCTAGATAAGTGGGCCTAAGGAACCTGGGGAAGGTACTGAGCATATCCAGTTCTGTTGATTTAGTTGTGTGGTTTTTGTTTGTTTCCTTTTTTTTTTATCGGTAGAAATTAGAAAGAGAAAATCTATGCTAGTTTTGACATATGCAACGTGCAGAATCCGAATTTATGTGTGTGTCTTCACCAATAAGTGGTGGTAGTGGCTTCCTTCAGTTAGAGTATACAGGATATAGCTGATGAATCACAAACGCGGAGTGCCTTGATACTTCAATGCACAGCCCTTTGCAGTGGGGTACCTTGCACAGGTTTGTTAAAGAATGAGTGTCTTATGTAGGATGACAGTGTATTTCCACTTAGGATCTTTCTGGAGCTTTTGGTTCAAAATCTCATTAAATTCCAATCTGTGAATATCCTGATCTGCAAGAGCTTCAGGCATCGGACCACAAGGTGGTGGTGTATACACATTTCCTTTTGAACATGGATCATCTCACCAACTAACCTGACAGTTTCTGTGGTGAAACACCTCGCTGGACAAATAATTCAAGAATTGTTATAACAGTTAAGCTCAGTTTGCATACATTATCTTAAACTAGGGTTAGTTTTAGCACTAGCACTTGATAGTGACTGTTGGCATGGAGTTGTTCATAACTGCTGCAAGTGCCCCTGGGCAGTAGTTTCTGTGTGTGTGCTGCACTCACGTGCTCTGGAGAGGTCCATGTGAGTTACCTCTACCTGCCAGGAGTTGTCCCCACTAGCTCTCCCAGAAGAAATAGTAAGCCCAGCTTCAAGCTGCATGAAAAACTGTGTCAGTGGGGTGGGTCTTGCTGCCTTAAAAGTATTAGAGCTCTCTTAGCTAATTATTTGCCCACAGTTTGTGGTTTGCTCAGGCATTGCTTGTGTTGGGTTTCCTCCAGAATCTGATTTGCTTAATGAAGTGGCAAGGAAGAAATCTGTAACAGATTTCTTTTTGGAACATTCAAACTAAGACAGCTTTGCCCCTTTCAATGATTATGGCTTGATACTCCTTGAAGCCATGAGAATGGAAGCAGCTTCCACTCCAGACTGTTCTCCTACCATTACGCCAGCACAGGCATTCAAGTTGAAGGTCAAAGCAGATTGGGAACTTCTCTGGCAAAAAAAATAAGCTTCAAGTAAAGAAGTCTTTTCTTCTTGTTGTAATGTTACTTAAATATATGTCAAACTATATCCCAATTTGATGCTAAGGAGTGCCAGAATTTCTAGCCACTCTTTGTATTGCAAAATAACACAGCTCTCAATGCCAAAAATGCTTTATTTCAAGGAAGCCTTTGTACTTCAGCCTTCTCGGTGAACTTTGGTGCTTTTCAGCAGTGCTGGAGGTAAATGGATCGCCAAAGGCCTGTCCAGCCATGCTCAGAAATAATTCCTGCAGCTCTCGTGAAGATGTGGCTGTCTGAGCATCTAAGTCGACCCTTACTAAGATAAGCACCTGATAGTGATCGCTGCTGGAAAATGCTTTTCTGCTCATTTTTTAAACAGTTCCCTGTTTTGCATCTCTTTTGTTTCCTTCTTTAATCTTTAAAGGTAGTACTACTTTGTAGACTTGTTCTTTGGGTGAAGCTGGCTAAGGTTCAGTTGTGTGGATTGAGCAGCTGCTTAGTGATAGTATGACAAGGTTTTTTCCTTGTTTAACGGCTTTGGCAGAAAAACTTGTGTTTGGATTTTGTGGGATTGTGGGTGGGGCTCTAAAGGGCCACTGTCTGTAGTTGCTTTGATCACGAGCAAGCCTGAAACAGAATGATGCTGGTGAGAGGTGATAGCTGTGGAAAGCAAACAAGTACAGAAATAATGTCAGACTGGGTCACTGGCAAACACCTTCAAAGTGGCTATGTATTATAAACATCCTACTGCTCTTAGAGTAGCAGTCAAGCCTAATTAATGAACGGAGGAAATCTGAGGTAGGATAATGGTTTTTGTAAGGGCACAAGAATTGATGGAGTTGGAATCAGAACAGTAGATTGATAGCTTCCAACTGTGTTTTGAGCCACAGCTAAATCTTTTAATAACTTCAAAAAATGCTTGGTCTTTTGTCTGCCTGCCTCTGTTCCCTGCTACTACTTGTACAAGTTGTCATCTTCCATGACATCAAAACTTTGTGGAAATAAGTCAGTTTGAGATGTCCTGTAGTTAAGGAGTAAGTAGTAAGTAATTAGATTTTGAGGAACAAAGCTGGGGAGTTCTTTTGTATTTTGCAAGGATAAGTTAATTCAGTGGATTTCTCAATTTAAGAAACATCTGGAATCTCTAAACTTGCAATATAAGGCATTGTAGTTACTAAAGCTTTACATAACTTAAATATCTCCTTTCAGATCTTTCTAGAAAACTGTCAGTGACTAAATAGGATACTAGTGAGAAGTGGCACAGTTAAAACACAGATGCTGTGTAAAGCTGAATGGCTGATTGCAGAGAACAGTGTAGCAAGGACTGGATAGAACACATAACATGCTGCATAAACCTAGCCAGTGGTTTCTTTTGCATCTTGATTTCTATTCAGACTAATGTGTGACATGCAAAGCTATCTCCCACAGTACATTTTGGGTGTACTGTAGGAGAGCAGAGTGAGAGGTGAGGAGAAGGCTGCTTTCCCCAAGAGCAGTTTTTCAGTACTAGTTTTTACTTGCAAATCAAAGTGTGCAAGATAAAATGCATCTAGAGAGGTTGATCTGTTCCTAGGATTATTTCATGGAGTGATTTCACTTGGAAAGATTAACCTTCTTCACAGATGAAATTTGGCTGTCCCATGTATTAAATGTTTAAGCCGAGCCTTAAATTTAGGAGTTTTCCAGCTTTGAATTTAAACTAACAGTGTGTTAATAACTTGTAAAAGCAGTGAACTACTTCCTTCTGGGTTCATGGTCTTGACTTGACTAGAGTCGTTACGTACATTGAGATTTGTAACAAGTTCAGTGTTTTATATCTTGCTTTCAGGAGATGACTATTGCACATCCGGTCTCACAGTGCTGTACTATGATGGCATATATATCTTTAGGAGAAGCTGCAGATAGACCTTGTGTAAGATGCCACTTAAATATTTAGTATGATTGTTGCGTTGACTGCTGCCCGCAAACCAAGGGTTTTCTTTTAGTTCTGATGTAGTTCTAATGTAGTAAGCAGTGGAGCTGGCAGTGGCATAGGCCAGCTTTGCTGTTGAACTATCAGAAGTGCTTAACTAATCTTCGAAGGCTAGTCAGCTGCACATAGTTTGATAGGCCTCCCTTGAGGGGCTCAGTTATGAAGAGTTAGCAGCTGATTAGTTAGTTACACCAGTACAACACGAGAACTGGATTTCTAGTCTTGGCAGTGCTGTGTGCGACCAACTTGGGAATTGAATCAGAAAATGTAGTTGGAACTAATTACAACAGGGAATAAGAATGTACAGCTGTGTTGGCAGAGAACTGAAACAAATTCAACTGTTTAGAGGGATCATGGCTATACTGTTGATCTCCATGGAGAGAAGCATATAGGAAGGAATATTAACCCTGGCCTGCTTCAATTCTAGTGAAGAAGAGACTACAATTAATGTGTTGACCTCCATGTGGTTAAGACTCGAAGATAGGACCTCAGTAGTTAAGTTGTCTGCCTTGACTTCAGCGGGTTTAAGTTAAACATAAAATTCCTACTTTTCTTCTAAAGACAAGTCAGAAGTATGTGCAGGTATAAAACGTCAGTAGTAGTGAAGGAATAACCCAAATAATATCACATCGTTACTAAATCTCAAGTAACGGATAGTATATTTATAAATGCAATTTGTACCTTGTCATTAGGTGTAGCAGGCCCACAAATGATAGCAATGACTGCTGTTGTACTTGAAAGTGAAATAACAACTCCTTGTGCAGGTTGAGTTGAACACATACACTTAGCATTAAAATTGGTTCATCTGAATTTCCTCCAATAATGCACTTGTTAATGAGGTGTTAAATTATCACCTTGGGAACTTGGGGACCAGTCAAAACTAATTTGAGCGAAGTGAAAACTTTGTTGCTGCCCCTGAGAATCTCAAGCTGAGCTGGGGAGCTGTTGGAAAAACAAATACTCTGGGGGTCATAAAGAGAATTTCCTGCTTCTCCCCAGGGGACTGACAGTTTTAAACATCACTCACTGTATTTGTGCTTCCAGCTGGGGATCTTTTAAATCAAGCTTGTTGCTGCACCCTTACTTCCCTCCTACAGAGCATGGCCCTTACTTCCCTCCTACAGAGCATGGCAAGCCTCCAGAAAAGTTACTTTAACCTGGTCTGGGCAAGAGAACTCTTCCCGTTGTTGGAGCTTCGAAGACTGTTTGCGGATGTTAACAGAGCTGTACCCTTTGTTTTGCATTGGAATGCCAGAATTCTTTGGTCCTCTTCTAGACTTTAATCGGCACAGTGGTGTTTATGCAAGGGCTTAACAAGCTTTATAACTGTACACCTGCTTTGTTCTTCTAACATTCTAGCCCTAGCTATTTCTATTCAGGTGTGAG